AAGTTGTGAGTTATTTTCTTTAATCTTCTTCCTTGAATATTAATTAATTCATGTTCCTGTTTCATATTAATATTTTGAGCATTACTTAAAGGATCAACTAGTTTTGTTTCATATATTAATTAATACTAGAATCGGTCGATTAATACGCTTGTTATTAATTCGGTCCTTTCACGGTAGTAGACTTGGGTTGTTAATGCATGCGTCTCATGGTTAATAACCGAAGGGGAATTAATTATATTGGTTAAACCGATAAACCGCTTGTGTTGAGGTTATCAATCTCGATCGTTTTCATCTTGATTTTATTGCTACTATCGAGTTAATATACGGCGCGTGTTCTATATTGACTCGGTAGTAAGTTTTATTAATGAACGCGTCTCGTTATTTATAACTACTCTCGATGAATTGGATATACTCCTCGATTGTGTATTCGAGAGGAAGATAGTTAAAGATATAACCGGGATCGACGAAAATTTCATTAAATGGATAAAAGCAAAGCCAAGTCTCCTTCTCATTAATTAAACCACATAAGTCGTTCATCTTCGTGTTTAGATATAATTTAAGTTCATCAACCAATCTAAAAAAAACCTTTTTACTTATTTCCAGATTTATAAAAAGAGAAGTATTTATTTCCCTGTGGATACGAACCTTACTACACTATACTACGTATTAGTGTTGTATTGATTATTATTTTGAGTGCATACACGACAAAGTGCACGCCAGTAATCTCATGCATAACCTACAAGTTGTAAGCAACTAGATGTCGGTCCTCACCTTAATTGAGCTTTAAACCTTTCCTTCTTGATTCAATGGTCAAAGTTTCGGTCAAGGTGGATCAAGAAGTGTTTCCTTGCTTAGAAATGATTGTTAAACAGCCTCCTCAATGTGCTAGTTCAACCCCTAACCGTTGATACGAAAACAGCCCCTAGAATAGGTGTTTTCCGGCGAACTCATTTCATAGTTTTTCCAAGGTTTGCTCTAGGTTAGTATCTAACCTTTACATCAATAAAATAATCTTATAAGGACATATTATACACTTGGAATAGTGTATAATAGTTCCACAAACCGTTCATATCATATGGGAAATGAAAATGAATGTTTTGGGTTCAAACTTACTATAAAGAGGCAAATCCATTTCTGCGAGGTTGTGTTTTGTTAGGATGATTTGGAAGCCTTACACTAATCCGTTTGATTCAAACCAGACCTCGACGGATTCCTTATCTTGAGAGCTATCTGCAGGTACCTCACACGCCTGATTTGAATTAGTAAAAGTTGAGATATGAACCAAACAAGCAACCCTATGCACTGGAAAATGAACCTGCGGGCAGCTTCCTCTTTCTTTTGCTTTCTTAATGAAACATATATTTAACCGTATTTTATATAATTGTATCATATTATACACGAACGTACATATTATTATATTATTCACGAACCGTATATTACTAACAAAGGGCTAAAGCTAGCATCCTAAAATACTAAAACTTACGTAGTAATATACTACAAGATTTCTGATGTTTTTCAAGCTAGCATATCAAAATTAAAATTTTTCTAAACCTACCGTTTTTTAGCATAAACTTTTACACAAACAATAATAAGTGTAGCAATCACACAACTTTTTTCATATGTCATCTGTCATCTTAATGAAAATGATGAGTTTAACTTGAGTGTTATTTGATAATCATATAAAGATATGATTTTTTGACATTATTTTTCAAAATTATGTCTTGGACTTAATTACTGTTTTTATTTTTATCATCGACTTGTGCAATTACGAACTATGCTTGTATGTAGTAATGAGATTTGCTACTTGAATATGTGTATACTTTTATTTCTTTATTTACTATATATGTTATTTTATGAAATATATCATTTAAATGTTCAAAATAATACCCGTATTTTTCGTCCGAATTTTTGTTATAGACAGCGTATTATACACGTATACGTATTTACACGTTTTTTAAAAGTCAACGTTTTTTTCAACGAATTTTTGACCATTTTTTTCATTCATGTTACCGAATAAAACGCGTACGTATTAAACCTCGTTTAATTCCCGTACCGCATTTAACTAACTAGGCTTTTTTGGTTGTGTGGCTCTCTCCTACTCTCTTATCCTTGGGAGTTCGAATGAGGGGCTTGTAGGAGTGTCTAAGACCCTTAAATAAGGTTGGATAAGTTGTGTGGAGTGAAATGAATTGGTATGGTCTCCATGAGATATTTTTAGACACGGGTGGGTCTCACTTTTGATCTCTTTTGTCATGTGCAGCCCTTAAGTCAAAATATGGCCGCCTCTCCCCTCATCTAACATGATTTTATTTGTCATGCAGGTACTCAAGTCATGTGGGATGGTTCCCAATTGATTCCAATCCATTTGGGGTCCAAAATATCTACCAATACTTCCAAAAATGGAAAGATGGGTCCTATTGTTTTTTTTTCTTTGTCATGAAATGTCTTTTGTGCTCATTCTAATTTATTTAGAACAAGTCAACCTCCTACATCATATTAGTGATCTCCAATATGTGTAGATCATCCCAATAATTTACATGCTGAAAGAATATAGAAGAAAATCCTACTCTCATTATTTAGTTAAATAATGTCAAAGATTGGATCATATATAAGAGTTTGCATTCTTCTCCAACCACTCTATCACTTATTTATTACATTAGTATTTATATTCTTGGGCTACAAGCCGTGTGGGTCACCCTCGAATGGGCCTAGGACGCCATTCTTGAATACTTACTATTTTTAATTAGGAGGTTAGGCCCAAAATAATGTTTGGGTTGCCCGACCTCCCTTAGTTTGTATCGGAAGGTTATGCATCATTATTTACATAATGTTGGGATCGTATATTAATATGATGGCCCAAAAACATATTTGAAAGCCCATCACTAATATACAAGCTCGAACAGTAAAATAATCAATCATGCACTACGTAAAACATTAATTGTTTTACAATCGTTTGGTAATTGGAAATTCAATACATAGACTTTGAATTTTAACTTGAATTTCCAAGGACGTTCGGGTGCGGTGTCACACGGTAGAATTGCCAGAGCTTCTACATTCATCATAGGCTGAACCTTAGAACCGCAGAATGCAGAGAGAACTGACCATCTTGAGAGGGACTCCAACAGAAAGTATTTGAGCATATCTTTTGCTTCTTTTATCCAGTTGAATAATCCAACCTTTGCACTTCATCTTCATTCACTGGTCCCTGACCGGTTGATGACCTGATATTCCAAGTTATTTCCTTATCTTTGCAAAATATTATCTTTGTGAAAGGTGGAATTTATGGTATAATAGTTTGCAGAGATAAGAAAATAACTCGGAATAGCAGATCATCAACCAGTCGGGGACCGATGAATGAAGATGAGGTGCAAAGGTTGGATTATTCATGAATAACGAAAATATCGGACTATTAAAAGAAGACTGCTAAAAGGTTGGATTATTAGTTTCCATTTTCCCGGGATTATTTATATAAGATTTTCAAAGGAAGGGTCCACTGAAAGGAGATGGGATGCAAAGGTGGGATTATTCTGGAATTAAGTAAAGGTGGGATTATTATGAGAAGACCAGCGAAAGGTGAAATTATTCTTATCAATTTTTCCTAATAAAATCTACGACTAATATGATTCATACTAGAATGAACTACTCCGTATTAAAAATAGGGTTTTTATTTTACAAAAATAATACTAAACTAAAACTTGTTTACCCAAATATGACCAATATTTACTAGAATGTAGTATCATGATTAAAAATTGAACATCAGTTACTATAATTTCATTACTACTGTAGTCGATCACGAGTCACATTTTTGTAAAGAGTCTTTATTTTAGTCATATTAACGTAATTATTTCAAAAAACTAAATAAACTAAAATCTTATAATTCGCTCAAAAATAATAAAAATTAATAATTAATCATAGCAAATAAAAAAGGGTGACAATCATCCCTGATGGTCCCAAAATGGACCATACAGTTATTTCGGAGGATGTAAATTGAGCTTGAAACACTCTGATGGAAAGTGAGTGAGGTTACATCCCAAGTCATTGCTTGAGGTTGAATTCAAGATCTCTCCTTTGTGGCACTTCTTCCTACAAGATGAGCTACACACGTCGATTTGAATCCAATACTAGTTTATTCAAAATGTGTCGGTTCTTAAGTTATGAACCATTGCGGCGCCGACGTGAATTATTTAAAAATATATGCGTAGTATTTCAAATAAAATATGGCGGTTGATATAATGCACAACGGCCGTGTGTGTTCGGATTTTCTTAAAAATGTTTTAAGAAATTATTTCAGAAGCTCCGTTTATCTTCTACCGCAAAATGTTGTTTTAGGATGTTTTTACTTGGACTGTAATTTGCTGGTCTGGTCTGATCTGGTCTGAACTGGTCTGGTAAGGTCTGGTTTCTTTGTATTTTTATAACTATCTAAGTCTGGTCTGGTCTGGTCTGGTCTGGTCTGAACTGGTCTAGTCTGGTCTGAACTGGTATGGTCTAGTCTGGGGCAAATTACAGTCCAAGTAAAAACATCCTATTGGACGACACTCCATCCTTGAGAGCCCCCAGTACCGATTGGACAGTAGCTGAGAGTAAATGTAAATTGGACTTTAATCACAACCTAGCTGGTAGCGAGCGAGGCTCTAACACACATACTTCCAAATGTTCTGTGCATTTTTACAAAATAACCTCTCCGCAATTATCAGGATAGCAGGATTCGAACCCGAAACTGATCTCATATGACACACACTATCTATCCGTTGAGTTACGTTACGGTCAGGAGTAATATTTTCGTTTTTCTCATTAGTCACTAATGATTAGTGTGCACTGTACTAGTTATACTTATACCACGAGGAACATGAGGGTGCAGTTGGACATAATAATCACCGGGATGATCTGTTCTTAATATCATAGACATTACAACGGTCAATATGCATGACAAACTTGTCACGTTTCTCTGCCTACAAACGAGATTCATCCTACCCATCCACGCCATATATCCTTGCAATGTCACTACTTATTTAGTTTAAAATCCCCTCTTTACTTGATCAATCTTCACAAGAGAAAAGATTTACTTGATAGAGAATTGAAACTGCAAGGTACCGCACTCGATATGGTCGGAATGGGCGGGTTGAGATCGGAAGCAGCGGCCCTACTGTTGACGCTAATCACCGTCTCTCGTTTTCCGGCCACCGCGGCAGGCGCTGAGTACAGAGTTGGGGATGCGGCTGCTTGGAATGTAGGAGGTGTTGATTATCGTGAGTGGGCTTCCCACAAGGTTTTCCATGTTGGAGACACCATTAGTAAGTTCATCCATCTACACTCTTATTTGAGGCGGACCCAAAAATCTGAATTAGACTTTATTGAAGTAATTATGCTATGTATTGGATGTTATCGGGTGAGCTAAATATGAAAAATAAAAATGACAAACATTTCAGATTTGATTCCGAACTCGGGTAGAATCCTGACATTGTTCAATCAAACCACTATAGTCTACCTTAACATAATTCAAACTCGGCTTTCTACTTCCCGTTTTCACTTTTCTATTTTATCCACAAGTTTAAATTGTAAATTTCTTGTAATCTTCATTTGCTTAAACATAAAACAGTATTATTAAACGGAATCATATCATATTCCTTCTAAGTTTTAACAACGAACAAGAATCTTCAAATATCACTTTTTTAGTAGTAGAAATGTAGAATTAATACTTTTTATTTAAGATCCTCATTTCCAAATGTGGCATTGGATACCATATAAACAGCAAATGGTAGAGCCAACCCAGGCCCTAGTATATAGCAAGTTTGATAAAATAAATGATGTACTTTTTTCTCTTGTAGTCTTATATGCCCTAGTATATCGCAAATTTGATAAATAAATGAATACTACCTTTATAAGTAAAAAATTTGTAGTTGACATTTATCTAGATTAGAGATACAATTAGAATCAAAACATAATTACTTATAGTCTTATAAAGAAAAGTCATGTTATGATAAATTTTTAGAACCATCATAAATGGAAAGTTGATAGAGTATAGTATTAGAGTTATAACAGAACAATGTAGTAAGTTTTGTTGTATGAACAAGCTAAGTGATCCTAATTTTGAATCCATTTTTCGAATTTTTACATTTTATAGGTGATTCGTTTTAAATTTTCACCTCACAGTTATAGCAAGTTATTATACTACAAACACATCATAAGAAAGGAACCCTAACATATACTAGTATTTTCTAAATGAATTACAGCTTTTGAATACAATCCCCATGAACACAATGTGTTACGGGTGAGCCGCGAAGACTACCATTCCTGCAAAACGACGTCGCCAATAGCCACTTACGCCTCCGGCAACGACTCGATAACGATAGTGGGCCCAGGCCACTACTACTACATTTGTGGGTTGGAAGGCCACTGCCAGGCTGGGCAAAAGATTGACATTAGAGTTCCTAAAAGAAATCAACCCACTGAATCGCCCACTGGAAACCCAGCCCAATCCCCCCAGAATTATGGGCCTCCATCGCCTTCGCCAATTTATGGGCCTCCATCGCCTTCGCCAAATTATGGGACTCCTCAACTTAGCCCATCAAGCATCACAGATAATACAAGTGGCGGCGCTCAATTCATTCAAATTGTGCTTCATGATCTTGCCTTTCTTCTTGTAATACCCATTTTTTTCTAATTTAAGCATCCTATATCTGAAGTACATTAGCATGTTTTTTTATGGAATTGTTTTTTTTCTCTCTTTTGAAAAGTACATTGGCATGTTTTTATTTCATTGAGTTGACTTATACTATTGTTTAAAAACCCGACCCGACCCGGCCGGGTTGACCCGGAACCCGGTGACCCGGACAAAAAACCGGTTTGGTTTTTTCAAAACCTGGAAATGGTCAAAAACCGGAAAAACTCGGCTGACCCGGGAAAACCCGGTCAAGACCCGGACCCAAGAAACCCGAAAACCGGTAAAACCCAGTTTTTGGGTGTTTTTACCAAAAAAAGTAATTTCTTTTTTATTTTTAATGCATTTTTTATACCGATAAAATTGCAATTTCAATACCTTAAAAAGAAAAACTACGTAATATATTTATATATTTATTTAAGAATCAACATCATGCCAAATTATAATATAGATGTACAATAAAAATAAAAATATAATTATATATTTTTATAAGATCAAAATATACATTGAAATATTATGAGAGTGTATTAAATGCTTAACAAGTAGTATTATTAGCTGATTATTATGAATAATAACTAATTTTTATTATAATTATATATATAATTATATGTTTACTATTATTATATAGACGTATAATCATTGACCGGTTTTCCGGCGTTGACCGGGTTGACCCACCGGGTCCGGGTTGACCGTGACCCAATCATGTGGCCGGGTCACTCTCCGGTCCGGTTTTTACAACATAGGACTCTTATATTGATTTTCTTTGTTATATATTGGCCAAACATGAAGTGTTTTGGGAGTATCTATATCTATATCTATATAATACGAAGTATAATAAAGCAAACCCTTAACACAATCCTATGAGGAAAAATTGACATGTGGCAAAGTTCTTTCTAAAAAATTTGCCATGTGGCAAATCCTATGGAAGAACAATCAACATGTGGCAAATCTTATACTCCGTAGAACACTCTTTGCAATTATATTGTGTATTACCACTACCAAATGAATATCAAAAGACACTACCTATAAATTAAATATGTATTTATACGTAATTACTTATAATGAAAAACTTTTGAATTTCCAATGAAAAAGAAGAGATTCTAAACTAAAAATAACTTACTATCTCATTTTCCTTTATAAAAACATATGGCCTATGAGAATTTTATTATGAGATACGTACTATACTACGATATGTATCTTTTGAGAACTTTGGTCAATAGTCAAAAACTCACTTAAAACATAACACATCACTGCATTTACATTTAATAACATTACTTTTGTACTTCATACATTAATTATTTAAAATGTGGTTGAAGTCCTATACAACAACATCCAAGCCTTATCCCAAATTAAAAGAATTTGGAGTCACTAACTCATATTTTGATTCATGTCATGTGATGTGATTAAATAATATCATTAGTCGTCAAACACCTACCACATCACTCTCTTCTTTTATTCTGACTTGAAACATACATGATATAAAAAATGATTTCATTGCGGAGTTGATTTAAACCTTATAATGTTTTGAGATTAGATTGGTTTTAGTTTCAAATGAGATTGGAGTACATATAAAAATCAACTCAGACCAGACTAGACTATGAATATACCAAGATACACGAGTTTTTACTTTTTACCGCTTTTAGTTCCCGACTATTATGTCTATAACACTTTTGGTACTCGGCTTTCAATTATTTTCAATTTGACATTTTTAGCCTTTCCGATATATATGAATTTTCGCAATGAATGAAGACTAAAAATGTTTCTATGATAATAGTTGAAGCAAAAAATGTCATTTTCATAAAAGTTGCAGCACTAAATATGAAAAAAATTAAAAAACGTGAATGAAAATCATACCTCGCGCAATAATAAAAGGACTAAAAATAGAAAAAATACAAGTGAAATACCAAAACGATCATTCACATAATAGTCGGAAGACTAAAAGTAGCAAAAATTCTAACATACACACATTTGAACTATCATACCGGTTAAGGCCAAACTTAAACAAATCGTATTTGACCACACTTTAACAGAGTTAATCAGATTACAAATGCTCATCCCAAAACAAAACTATTCACCCAATTCAACTACACAAAAAACTATGATCACGAACTATTTCTCATTATTAAGCAATTATTCAAAATAAAAGTTGAAAATATTACACAACCTCAAGGTCCTACCACACCCCCTATTCTACTAGCTATTTATCGTTATTAAAGCAGTGATCCCATCTAATTTTTATACGGACTATAACTAAAATCTAAACTCTCATTTGTTTATGAACAATATACTAAAATCACGAATAATACCACTATCGTTTCTAAAAAAATCAGCCAAAATACGCTAAAAAATAGTGATCATTACTAAGTCATATATTTAATAATTTATCATTGCATAGCTTATACCAACACAAATTATTTTACTAACCACATTCTGAAATGAAAGAGAAAAGACGAAACAGACTTACTCAAATGAAAGAAAAGACAGAAATAGACTTACCTAATTCTCCCCATTCAGACATAAAATGAATTTTAACATTGTTTGTTTCAAAGTTATTATGCTGAATTAAAACATGAAAATAAGAGAAAATATCAAGTATATGGAGTAAAATCAAAGATGGGAAGAGAGATGTAATTAACAGGTAAACCTGCGAATTAAGTATATGGAGTAAAATCAAAGATGGGAAGGGAGATGTAAACCTGCGAGTTGAGGCTGGTGTTCTGGTTATGCCGTCCATGGCGTCCAAGATGAAGAACAGATAGTTAATTAACAAGTAAAGATGTTTTCTTTTGGACTGTTTTCAGTCCCAGATCAGACCAGGCCAGAATTAAACAGACCAGACCAGACCAGACTTGGATAGTTATAAAATACACAGAGACCAGGCGTTTACCAGACCAGACCAGTTCAGACCAGACCAGATCAAACCAGCAAATTTCAGTCCAAAAGAAAACATCCTAAAGCTGTGGTAGTTTTTTTTATACTGAAATTGGTATGACTAGTTGTAATTCAGGATTGCATTGGAGCGGAGATACTGTTCCAACCGGCTGTGTGTCCACCTCAACTTCATAGACCGTTTAAACTTTAAACGGTTAACATGTCCATTTTTAATGGGATACAATCCACGTTCTCAAAGATGCTCTTAGGAACAACTCAAAATATTCTACAAAATTCCAATTGGAAAGAAACTACAACATATTCGAAAAGAAATCACTAGTATCCTAGTGCTAACAAATTACCAAATCCAGAATTTACCCTAATTAGCATATTCAAATCTGCGGTACTTTATAAAATTTTACCTTCGCCCTAAACTTAGTATACATTTCAATTGGCACACTTATTGATAATGTCAAAATGTAAGATTGTGATTGATATAAAAAATGTCAAATGTTTTAGGACAATTCAGAAAAAGCGAGAAGTAATTTTTGTTACTGAAGGAGTATATATGTTTTATAAAATATAGTTGCAAGGGTGGGAATAAAAACATTTAATCGGCCAAAGAGAAGCTAAAATATACTCCGTATGAAGTACCATTTGACTTTTGTTTGTGTAGACTCTAGAATTTAGACAAGTATACAACAAGACACACAATTTGTGGATACAAAACTTGTTGGGCTGTGCAATTATATTCTTCTGTTAAGGGGACCAAAACCCCCTAATTCTGCATGATGAATGCCCTCACGTACTTTCAAACACTGCTTAATGAACCAAAAACACCACTGTAAGAACTCATTTCATAAAGATGGAGGATGATCCGAAGACATCTGGACAGTACGAACAAAACCACAAAGCCACTAAAAGAAAATACACCCACGTTCAAAACTTGATTTATTCCCAGCTATGTGTCAGTCATACATAATCAAGAAAAGCCAAATAAAGAACAAGACGGATTTGTCATTAGTCATACTCCAGTTCATCTGGTGTAATCGGCCGTTTAAGGGGAATGATGGACTTCTTCTCCACATCTCGTGATAGAGCTTTCCTCATATCTATCATTTAGAGGAAACAAAATGAAAAAACAAGCAAGCGTCTCTTAATTAAGATACACTAATTAATACTTCGTAGAATATACGATAGTATAAACTTTTATGGTAGGATTTACCCAACTCACCTAACCCGTCCTCTTCTCCAGAGTAATACCGTAGCACTCTCCTGTATATTATGTAGCCAAGCTGGAAAATAGAATATATATGTACTTAGACTAATGCCTTGTTCAAAGATACTTCTTAAGTACTGAAACGAATATACATCATACATGCACTCCTTATGTCCCATAATATTCTTATTTGACCTAGGTACAACTTTATTTTCACAATGTACAACTGACATTAGGTGCAAATCATAGTTACTTCTTAAAAACATTTTTTATACAATTAACTATCTTTATCCTAGTTAACTTGTTTGCTCCCCTTGTTTAGACACACTACTTGAAAAATTATTTTGGTTTACTCAAACTGAGCTTTTTTGTGGGACACGAGTGTATAAAAATTCAGGCATGATATGAAGGGACAGTCAAGCATACCTTCTCGTACATCTTTATGGCTGGCACGTTTGATGCTCTCACAAAGAGATCAACAAAGTAAGCCTTGTAACTATAATGGAAAAGTTCTTGTTAGTGCCCGTACAAGTAATACCTATCTGAAAACACAGTAATTTAGAAAATGACATCACCAATCTAACCCTAGACTTGGGAACACATGAAACTGGGAGAAAGAAGTAATACAAGATGAGGCGAAAAGTTCCAATAGTTTGTGTCAAACAAGGGGATTCTTTTTGTCTAAAAATTTGTTTTGTCAAGGTACAACTTCTAACTTTTGGTAAGAATGTAAGATCAACTCCTGTATTTAAATTGTTTGAGGAAAAAATATATCTAAAAAATTACATTAAATTCAATTGAACTTATCTTCTTTTGTTGAAGCATGACTTGTTTTAGACACGGATAAGCTTTGAGACATGATTCTTTTTTCAGAATGGGGACAGAAAGCATTCCGGAAGATGCAGGAGTAACATAAGACATGATAATAAATCAAAACCAGTCTCATATTTTCATGCCGTATTATCATGAATGAGAAATGAGCATTTCATTTTCCTCTCTAAGGTTACAGAAAGTTATTGTTT